TGTCATTCATATACTTTTATATTTATCAATTATTTCACATGATTTTATCAATTATTTATAATTCATTAAATAACCTTATCAAATTTTAGTAACGACTTTGAGTTATCAATAAACTTTTCAACTTTCAATTAATTTTTCAACTAATTTTTCCAAACAATCGTTAGCTAATTAAAAGTATGATTTTTAAGATATTTTTTTGTCTTGTTGAATCCCACAAACTAATCTAACTTGCAATAATTGTGATTATTACTAATTCAGCGAATTTTCTTATACAACAGATTTTCTTTTTTTATTATAATCTATCGGAATACTTTCAAGATAATTATAATATAAGTTAAAAATTTTATTATACATGTAATTATTTATTATTTAAAAATAATATAAAAAATAACCTTTACCATATTAATGCATTCATATTGAATGCTTATTTTATTTTACCGTGATGGTATGAATAAAAAAGAATTGAATTCTTAAATTTTTACGAATATATAACCCCACCACTTATACTTTATTTTCTACAATAAATGGCATGTGTGTTTTCATTTTCAAATGCTGGTTAGAGTGCCCTAGAGTCTGGTGCAAAGATCCTCATATTGCTTTTACATGTCTTGTACGTAAAAACGGGTTAGTTTCTTGTGGGATCACGGTGGTTTGGTGGCTCCACCTTGATAACAAAATGGCCTTGAATCGCATGTAAGATGTCTCTATCACCTCTGTAGTGGCGCTCGATTTTCAAGATCCATTTTCTACCACACTATGCTTCTGCCAAATATTGTTCAAGAAATATTGCCTTCTGCTTTCACCTTTAAGAGAGACCATAGAAGCCGTGCACGTTGTCCTCAAACTCATGTCTTTTGGACTTATACTCTATTCATGAAAATGACTTTTTTTCCCGATCTTCACCAATTATTTTAAAGTTAACAACTAAAGACTAATATGAACTTGCAAGATATAATTTTTACTGTCCAAACATTTTTTAAAACAAAAAAAAATTAAACTTGAGACCATTATATCAATTTTTGTATTTCAAGATAGACCTTACAACTATCGAGTTAAGAAACTTGTTTAATAACAATGATTTTGGTTTCCCTTATATATGATTTAAAAAAATTCAAGTTTTACATTAATTTAAAATATGATAAAAATAAAGTATATAAATTAAAGACAAATTTTATTTTATAAGTTAATTTTATAAAATTGAGTTAGTTTAATTTACAACCCACATTTTAATATATATGATAATAGAGCCCATTATATTCATTAAAAATAGTCGACCACCATATTATATATCCACATAACAAGTCCCATTGTATTGAGTGTAAGCATGAAAGAATAGAAGCCCAATAGTTTTGATAGAAAAATTCAAAAGTTTTACATTGATTAAAGATAATACCAAAATAATAAAGTATATTAGTGTGGGACACAGAGGCGGATCTTCTTGGTGACTGGGTAGAGCTACGGCTCCCCCAAATTTTTCCAAAATTTTTTTTTATATATATTTATATATATTTAATATTATATTTGTATGATTATTTTATGAAATAATTAGTGAATAATAATAAATTTTTGAGATTTCATGTATGTTTATTTTGTGTAAAAAAATGAGAAATATTTTTTTAATCAATAAAAAATTTAATTTATATATAAAAAGATTAATTCCGCACCCCCTATGTAACATACCAGCAACCCGCATGTGGATATTGTCCGCTTTGGCCGCAGCCCTCACGGTTTTGCTTCTGGCAATGGCACTCATGCCACCCCAAAACGCGTCCACACAAGGAAGGTATCCACACCCATATATATGGCATGCTTCGTTCTCCTTCCTAACCGATGTGGGACTTCACAATCCACCCCCCTCAAGGGAGTCCAGCGCCCTCGCTGGCACACCGGCCCGGGTGCAGGCTCTGATACCAAATGTAACATCCCAGCAACCCGCATGTGGATATTGTCCGCTTTGGCCGCAGCCCTCACGGTTTTGCTTCTGGCAATGGCACGCATGCCATATATATGGGTGTGGATACCTTCCTTGTGTGGACGCGTTTTGGGGTGGATTGTGAAGTCCCACATCGGTTAGGAAGGAGAACAAAGCATGCCATATATATGGGTTGCTGGGATGTTACACCCTACTTTTTTATCTAAGTTCCACCGCTGGTGGGACAATTCGCACTTTACAAATTACTTTGATAAAATTGAATTAGACCATTAATTCACATTCTAAGATTATGTTTCCAAATACACCAGCTGGCTTTGATGATCTATGAGGAATTGAATTTAGTGAGTGTTTTGGATTGAGATTTTGAAAGACTATTTTACTTAGTATGAAAAAGTTTTTTGAATTTTAATAGATTTCAAAAGATTATGAAAGAATGTCATGACTTTTAATATTTTTTTTAAAAGACTTTTAAAACATGAATTTTAATCAAGATTTTATAGTTCAAGTTTTAATAAATTTTGATGGATTTATATCATGATATTTGAAAGGATTTTATGGATTTTACAAGAAAACATAGATTTGTAAAACACATTTAATGCTACAACAATTAAAAAATATAACATAAATAATAAAGAAAAGTAAAACCAACACAATTTTTTTTTATTTTTTGACAAATAATTGTATCTATCTTTTAACAAATAATTGACTATAATATCCTACTAACTAACATTTCTCCATATATCTAAAGTTATACTAGTCCTCCATGCATTGACATATTATAACACTCCTCAAATTTGATGTCTTGGCAGCTCCATTCCATGAGATATCATACGGTGACATTTGACATAATTCCTTGTTGATAAGAACCTTTCACTTGTTAGAATCCTCCGTGAATAACTCTTTCTAAGATGTCCAACTGCCACTAGGATCAACGATTGACCTCACAAATCAATAAATAACTTTTCAACATGCTTTGTTCTCACTTGCACAAATTTTAAAAAAAATTCTAGAATAATGTCCCTCATCCCTAAATTGCTTCAAGCCAAATGCACTTAACTATGAAATTCTTTTGTGATTAGCTATTAAAAAGTAGATGTATCTTATTGGTATAAATAGTACTAATTAATTACTTATCCTTAAAATTTATAATCTTATGCTTACACAAATCTTTGGACCCCTCTCATTTCAAGGTATCCAGATTGTTACACATTCTCTTTCATGCTCCTGAATTTGAGTGATATGGTTAAAATTATGATTTTCATTAACTGGTAGTACTAAAGATTAAGATTCATCTACTAATTCAATAAAAAATTTATCAAAAAGACATTCTTTCACTACTACAAGACACGTTATCTACATCGGTTCTTTAACACTATCTACATATCAGTTCTAAAACCGATGTAGAAGAGAGTGACTTAGTAAATGTATACAATTTTACATCGATTTTAAAATCGATGTTGAATAATCATAAAATCTACATCGGTTCTTCATATAACTGATGTAAATTTGTACGCCAATCTACATCGGTTCTTATTATAATCGATGTAAATTTGTACACTAATCTACATCGGTTGTTATCATAACCGATGTAAATTTATATACAATTCTACATCAATTTTTTGCATAATCGATGTAAAAATGTATATAAATTTACATCAGTTTTTGTTGAACTAATGTAAAATTAGACCCTCATTTACATCTGTTCATATCTGAACCGATGTAGACTTTTTTTTTTGAAAAATTCGTTTGATTTTAGGTTCTTTCTAATTTAACGTGTAATAAATACATATATAATTCTCTCCCAGATTTTTGAAGATGTGCATGTGATTAAAAGATTAAACAAAACCCACAAACAAATTAAAATAGACAAAAAGAACAAATTCACTTACACAAAAAATACACTATATGGCATATGTAATTAATTTTAATTTTCATCTATGACTAATGAAGAAAAATCTTGAATCAAGGTTATAAAACTTGGCCACCAAATCACATTAACAAACCATATTAAAGCATGAAACAGCCCACTATGGCATGGTATTTGTTCCCAGACAACTATTATAAGCTATTTGTGGTCTTCACCTAAATCAACAATATATCCAACAACAATTCTAGTCCTAAAATATATATGATCACTTCCATTCTTTTATGTGGTCACCCTCATTCTTTTATACTACTATAATTTTAAAGAAAATAAGAGCAACAATAATTTTAGCCCTAAATGTAGCCAATTTCTCTAATCATCCAACATCAACCAGATAAACTTGTAGCAAAATCATGCTAAGGAGAATGCCAATAAAAAAAATATGGTAGATGTGCAACCAAGAAAATGAGCCAACTTAGTAGAACAACTTGATAAAATTGAACATCTAGTAGAACACCAAATTGAAAATCTAGCTTCAAACTTAGCATTGCAGCGAACACAATTTACCCTTTCAACACAAACATAACATAGTCTCAAAGAGTAACATCAAGTAATTAAATTTATTGAATATTAACATTATAAATATAACTAAATAAATTTATTAAAACTCATTACAAAAATAAAATCAATAGTGACGGGAACTAAATCCATGACCAATATTTGGACATGTCTTCCTAGTGTGACAATAGGAACAATGTTTTACACGATTATGTTGTTCTCTAATATCCATCTCTATTCTAATCCTGCTGGACTTTGGCCGACCCTTGAAAGTCCTATTGAGTTCTGGATTTGGCCACATAGTTGGACCAGTGTAAGTAGGCCAATAATCTTCATGTCGGAGGTCTCCAAACTATCATTCGTATACCTTTGTAACTTGTTGTAAGGTATATATGGGAGATATGTAGATTTAATAGTTGTGATGTGCATGCAAGCATGAAGCGAGTACATGCGAGCAAGGGATATGAACTTTCTGGAACTTGCCACAATCACACCACATTTCATCTAGCCTTACTATAAATTTCCCAGCGGGTCGAACTTCTCTCGGATGTTGCGTTTCTTCCACTAGAAATCTAGTGCTTGATTTGTCAAAGGTGATAACTCTATGAGTATTTGCCTTAGACTGTGCATCTTAAATAGTTTTACTTGCAATTTTTGAGTAGACATGTCCAGCATTAATCATTGCATCCACTTCCTTGCCTCTTTGAATGAAAAACTTGTTGCAACGAGTGTATGTGGCCATTATCATGGAACAAATTGGAAGATTTCGTGTTTTCTTCAATACAGAATTAATAGACTCAGCTAGATTTGTTGTCATGTGTCCCCAACGTTGTTCATTGTCCCATGCTAGTGTCCATTTTTCCCTAGGAATGTTGTCTAATCATTGGGCTGCTTCAACATTAGTATCTCTTACTATGTTGTAATAGTAAAAGAATCTAGGTTCAGTCATCCTATAGGCTGAAAAAAAAATAATTAAACTGAAAACTAATTATTAGTTTTAAAAAAGGTAATGATAAAATTACCCATGTTGACGACATCCTTCTTCAGTGCTGCATTTTTTAATCGTCGCATGAAGTTTTGTGCAATGTGTCAAATACAATAGACATGGACAAAATTATTTTTTGTCCAACTACTTCCATTTCTTGAGTATGCACTTCGAATAGCCTCATGACGATCAAAAATTAGGCACAACCCGTCTTGCGGTGTTACATACCGCCTTAAGTTCTTAAAAAAAAAACATGCATCGCTAGTTTTACCTTCAACAATAGCAAATGCAATAGGAATTATGTTGTTGCGACTATCTTGCGCAATGCGACCAATAATGTACCTTTGTATTTTTCGTATAAAAAGGTTCCATCAACTTGAACAATTGGTTTGCAGAAGGCAAAACCATCAATGCATGGTTTAAAGGTCCAAAATAACCTTTTGAATATAACATTCCCCTCTTCTAATAAGCCACCATTGGTAAGTCGGTTGCATATTAAATTTTCAAATAAAGTCTGGAACATACATTTGCATTGCTTGCAACATACCTGGTAACTTGCTGTACGACTCCTCCAAGTTTTCAAAGATGTTTGTAATGGCATGTTACTTGGCCAACCATCCCTTTTTGTGACTAATTGTATAACCCATGGTCAACTTGATGTGGGCTATGATGGTTGAAATGGGTGTAGATGGATTAGCCTCAATAATTTCACGAATGGTTTGAGAAATCATTTGTGATCCCAATTTATTATGATCTTGGCACAATCGTGGTGAACGCATTCCACGAGAAGCCTAGTAGTGTTTGAGTGCTTAACCTTGTAAGTGCAATGGTTGACAATGTGAAATCTGTTAATACCATCTTGCACTTGTTCTTTTGTTTGGAAGCATTGGCCAACAAAGAGTGTTCCAGGTGGATACACAACCATTTCACGTTCCAACAGATGGCTATACTTAGTGTCTTGTAGTTGGATTTCATTGGGAAAGTCTAAAAAGTGTGGAGGTGGGTTGTATATGGCTACTAGTTCTAGTGGTGGATTATTTGGAACTGGAAAGATTTCTTCTTCATCATCATCTTGATGTTCAAAGAGGATTTCTTCTTCGTCCTCACTAAAAGGATCAAAGACATTTTTTTTTGGGAGACCAACAAAAAGATTATCTTCAATGTTGGTTTGAATATTGGGTTGAGAGGAAGAAGCTGTAGCTTGGTCAAATTGTTGAGAAGGTATTTGATTAAGGTCCATGACTGGACCAGTTAAAAGCTGTGTGTATGACTCAACGTCATGGTTGGAAGGAATATCATAAGAAGAGTGGGTTAGTGTTTTGATAACTTTGATAAATTTGGTATGGTGAAAGTGAAGGTGAAACTTGTGGTAAAAGTGAAGGTATTTATAATGGAAGGTTCTAACACCTAGAACGGGTCGTTCCAAACTTCTAAAAAGGCCTAAAGCCCTAGTTTAGAACGACCCATTCTGGTTTTAGAACGGCCCATTCTGGGTGTCAGAATGACCCGTTCTGACTTTGGAACAGGCCGTTTCAAATGCAAAATTAACGCATGTTCAAGCAGAACGGCCCGTTCCAAAATGCGAAAAAAAAATAAAAAAAAAATGAACAATAAATGGTGGTAGTTAGGAAAATAAATTTGCAAAGTTGCTATTTGGGTAAAAAAAATTTAAAAATGTATTATTTGAGTAAAAAATTTGCTAATAAAAAGCAATTTTTAGGTATATTGAGGTTACAAACCACTTACCATGGGGTAAATCCAATCTAGGTTCTTTGATTGTGCTGTAGATCTACCACTCATAACATTATACACAACCATAACACTAAAGAAAATAAATTCAGATAAGTTACATGATTAAAATTTATAATAGAGAGCATAAAGTTAATACGTGTTACAAATTAAAGTTTACCTTTTTAATCAATATTAGTTCATTGTTTGTTTGGGCAATAGTATTTCACACGTTAATGCTATTGACTATATCAAGGACCTAGCCGAGAAAATCCAGCTTAATAGATCAAAATCGGACCATACAGCAACCATAATACAATGACACAACTAGACATCTCCCACAATGACAGATAATTTATCAAACAATAACACAAAATCATGAACTATGTCAACAAGAAAGTCTACTAAAATAAAAGTATGATGTTTGATCATTTACTTAGGTTGGAGCCAAATAAAAATGGTTTCATACTAACCTCAAGAACTGGTAAATATGGGAAACCCTTAAGAATAGAATTTTTGTTTTTCCTGGCAGCTAAGACATGCACCAAATTATTATATTCATACATAATTCATATATGTACAAATATGGAAAATAAGAAATTTTCATTTTATAATGTTTAAGAACAAAACTAAAGCCTTTAACAGAAACAGTAGTAGCTGAACCAACATATGCTCAGTTGTTCTAGTATTTCAAAGAGGGCCAACATTAGGTAAATTGAATGCCTAAACCAATCTAACCACTTAATATAATCATAGTTATCAATCCTAGATAACAATGCACAAGACCTGGCTCTGAAACACTATAGCAGAAAACAGAAACCCCACCCACCCCAAACTCTCTAACACTCCATTTTTCTTATTTCAATTTTATTTTATTTTAATTGAGGGTATTTTGGTAATTTTATAAAGGAGATAGGGGTGATTTAGTAGCTTGGAACGGGCTATTCCGGAATTGGAACGGGCCGTTCCAAACTACCAAAACGTATGTGATTTAGTAGCTTGGAACGGGCTATTCCGGAATTGGAACGGGCCGTTCCAAACTACCAGTGAAAGTGTGAGTTAATAGCCTAGAACGGGCCATTCTCAAGTTGGAATGGATTCTCTGTCGCCGTCACCTGGCAAACTCTAAGGTCTTTCGCAGTATTTCGGGCAAGAGTAACCGGTTATCACCTTGAATGTGATTTTCGACAAGGCTTGCAAGCTCCAAGGCCAAACTTGGGGCGGTCGTACATTAATCACTCCCTATGGTTAATACCCTCATGCCCTCGGGTGTAGGGGGAACTGTTTTGTGCAAAGGTTTGTGTACAACTTTTATTCAAACAGGTGCAGAATTTAAACAAACAAACAGATATTAAAGCCAAACAAATAAAACAAACAAAGAAAAGGGGAAAAATATTTAAATCATTTATATGGGCCTGACGCTTTTTAAACTTCCCTAGTGGAGTCGCTATCTGTCGCAACCCGAAAATTTCCGATCTTGCGACCTATGGTTTAGAGATCCGTTTAAAAATCTCATCAATTAAGGAATGCCCGGAGACCATACTAATCCTTAATTAATGGTTTTAAAAAATGAGTTCATGGAGTCGCCACCAATGTTTTACTCAAAACATTGGAAAAAGAAAAGGTTTTTAAAAGTTCAATAATGGCCTTGATAACTAGAATTGGGTTCAGGGGTCGGTTACGTGTAAGGAAGGTATTAAGCACCCCTACAACGCCCTTAATCAGTACCCTTATGATAAAGTTAGCATAACAAGAATTAATAGGTTAAATATTTAATCCCCTTTATTAATGATTATTTACATGCTTGAAATTTAAATTACACAATTGACTCTAAAATATCTACATGATTGCTTTTATTATAACAATGTTTATCAAAGATGAGAAATAAAAGAGAGAAAATAAGATTGATTGAAATACCTTGTAGCAAGCTTTGTTAGATCTTCAAATATGGAGATCTTTAGGTGCTTTGTGGAAACCTTTGATGCTTCCAAATGGGGAAGTCTCAATATTTGAATCGTCAACTTGAGCGTGTTATCCCCTCCGTCCTCTTGCAGAATTATTGGCTTTTAAATGCCCCCCGATTTGATGTGTCAAGTTTGCACTCGATTGCCCGTAATTTCATTATTAACGCATAAGGTTAGATTTTCCTTTTTATTTATTTATTATTTATAAGGAAGGCGTGTTATCTAATGAAACGTAAAATAGGATGCAAAGACACTTGAGAAATTCAACGAATATCATTCTCATTGATTCTTGTTTAGAGAACATCTTTGCATACTATTATATGTGCCTCCCATTTCTAATGAATGTATGCTAATGTACTATCCTACGAGATGCATGATGTTTTTTTTCTGCCTAAATTTTATCATTTTTTTTTACTAAAGGTTATGATGCATGATTTTTTTTGCAATATTTTTTTTGTTTTTTTCTTAAATAAACTATCCTATATGGTGCTTTAGGGTTAGGGTATATAGAAGGGTGTTAGGTTTTTTTATTGATATCTATTTTTTTTGTCTATAATTCCTTTCTATTTGAAATGAACAGAAGAAAGCACAACAAATGCAGCACACATATGCTCAAACAAATGTACACCTACGAACAATCACGTCCAAATCCTTGGTTTGTGGTCCCTGTCAAGAAAAGTGCATTGTATAGGACAGTTCTAAATTTACTGGTCTTTAAGGCTCTCAAGGTGCCCTATTATAGGGACCCAGTATCTCTGTCGCCGTCACCTGGCAAACTCTAAGGTCTTTCGCAGTATTTCGGGCAAGAGTAACCGGTTATCACCTTGAATGTGATTTTCGACAAGGCTTGCAAGCTCCAAGGCCAAACTTGGGGCGGTCGTACATTAATCACTCCCTATGGTTAATACCCTCATGCCCTCGGGTGTAGGGGGAACTGTTTTGTGCAAAGGTTTGTGTACAACTTTTATTCAAACAGGTGCAGAATTTAAACAAACAAACAGATATTAAAGCCAAACAAATAAAACAAACAAAGAAATTTATTTATAAGTTTTTATTATTATAATA